CTCCATTTCACCAGAAAAATGCTGCTCCCAATGTGTTGGGGAGTGCCTGTGCCCGTGTGCTTGCAGCTGGGCCCCTGCCTGTCCATGGCTCACTCTGGGCAGGGTGGTTGTCTCCATGCCTCAACTCCCAGATCCAGGCAGGATCTGCCCTCTATGGGCCGAGCTTCCCAGAGCTGTTGTGTCCTGCAGCCCCGGGTTGTGTGGAAAAGGGATCCCAGGCTCGTGCCTGGCACGCAGGGGGAAGGCTGCTGGGCCACGTGCGTGCCGTGTGCCCAGCTGTGCGTGCCCGGGTGTCTCTGCAGGCAGCAGGACCTGTTCCGGGTGCTGAAGGCGTACACGCTGTACCGCCCCGAGGAGGGCTACTGCCAGGCCCAGGCGCCCATCGCCGCCGTCCTGCTCATGCACATGCCGGCCGAGGTACGGGCACACGGCTCAGGGGACAGCTGGCACCTCCGGGAGGGTGTGGGGCCCCTTGGGGGGTGCTGATGAGTGGGGTGCCCGGCTCAGAGCAACACAAAGCGCCCCAGGGGTGCTCTGCTGCTTCCCACCCTCTCCCGTGGTCCCTAGGAGCAGGGAGTGGGCCACGGGAATGCCCTCTGGGTGCTCACCTGCTGTATCTTGGCTTGCAGCAAGCGTTCTGGTGCTTGGTGCAGATCTGTGAGAAGTACCTCCCTGGCTACTACAGCGAGAAACTGGTGAGTGAAGGGCTCATGGTGCTTTCAGCAGTGGCAGGGACCTGCAGGGTTCTGCATCTGGGTTGGGGCAACCCCCAGGATTAATCCGGGCTGGGGATGAAGGGATCAAGAGCAGCCCTGGGGAGAAGGACATGGAGGTGCTGCTTGGTGAGGGCTGGCCACACCCTGGCCATGTGTCCTGGGCTGAGCCCCCAGTGTGCGCAGCAGGGGAGAGAGGATCCTGTCCCTCTGCCCTGTGCTGGTGAGACCCCACCTGCACAGCTGCCCCAGCCCTGGGGCTCAGCTCAGGAGGGACCTGGAGCTGCTGGAGCCAGTCCAGAGGAATCCATGGAGATGCTCTGAGGGCTTGAGCCCCTCTGCTCTGGAGCCAGGCTGGGAGAGCTGGGGGTGTTCACCTGGAGAAGAGAAGGCTCCAGGAGACCTTGGAGCCCCTTGCAGGTCCTAAAGGGGCTCCAGGAGAGCAGAGGAGGGACTTGGGACAAAGGATGGAGAGACAGCACACAGGGAATGGCTTCCCAGTGCCAGAGGGCAGGGATAGATGGGATATTGGGAAGGAATTGTTCCCTGGGAGGATGGGCAGGCCCTGGCACAGGGTGCCCAGAGCAGTTGTGGCCACCCTATCCCTGGCAGTGTTCCAAGCCAGGTTAGACTTGGAGCAACCTGGGATAGTGGAAGGTACCACATGGCAATTGCATGGAATGAGATGAGTTTTAAGGTCCCTTCCAACCCAAACCATTCCATGATTCTGCATCTCCAGGCAAAAACTTGTCCAGCTCCTTATCCTAGGGAAGGAAGGGGTCTTGGGAGGGGCTGGGTATTCTGAGTCTCCCTGTTGTGCCCTGGCTCCCAGAAGCATTTCACATTCAGAGATGAGGGTGTCAGTGCAACATCCATGGGACACAGCTCTGTTCCTATCAGGTGTGGAGGCTTGGCTACCTTTGCTGGGGCCAGGCACTGGGAGCTGATCCCAGGGCTGGGGTATTCACTGGGATGCTGCTCCCTGTCCCTGCAGGAAGCCATCCAGCTGGATGGACAGATCCTCTTCTCACTGCTGCACAAGGTCTCACCTGTGGCCTACAAACACCTGAGCAAGCAGAAGATCGACCCCATCCTGTACATGACAGAGTGGTTCATGTGCGCCTTCTCCCGCACGCTGCCCTGGAGCTCCGTCCTGCGCGTCTGGGACATGTTCTTCTGTGAAGGTGGGAGCTGCCCACCATCCTCATCCTCCTCCTGGGCTGACTGCACTCTCCACAGCCATGGGACTTGTAGCAGGGCAGGTTTGGGGCAGCCACATGCCTGGGGTGGAGGTGGGCTGTTTTCCTGGGGGGTTAGGAAGCGTGTACATCCCAAATTCACCCTCTTGCATGTCGTGACTGTTAGTGAGGCTGGGATCTGCTGCCCCACAGCATTTGAGAGACATGGTGGCAGTGTCACCCTGTCCTGCCTGATACTCACTGCCTCACGTCTCCTCTTGCAGGAGTGAAGATCATCTTCCGGGTGGGCCTGGTGCTACTCAAACACACCCTGGGCTCCTCGGACAAACTCAAATCCTGCCAGGGCCAGTATGAGACCATGGAGAGGCTGAGGGCCCTCAGCCCCAAAATCATGCAGGAGGCCTTCCTGGTGCAGGAGGTGAGCTGCTGGGGACGGTCTGGGGTCCCAGTGCCACCCAGCTGGCCAGTGCTGCCAGACTGGGCTGTCCCTGGGCGGGCGGAGCATGGGCAGCAGCTCCCAAAAAGCTTGGTTGGCATTGCCTGTGCCCTGAGGGGGATCCCACACCCAGCCCCTCTGGCGCTGTCGCTGATGGCACAAGTGTCCCCACAGGTCATCGAGCTGCCGGTGACGGAGCGTCAGATCGAGCGGGAACACCTGATCCAGCTGAAGAAGTGGCGGGAGACGCACGGAGAGCTGCAGTGCAAGTCCCCCCCGCGCCTGCACGGGGCCAAGGCCATCAGCGAGGCGGAGCCCGCGCCGCGAAAGGCGCTGGAGCCCGTCCCCTCCATCATCGTTTCCCCCGGGCCCGCCCCCGTGCCCAAAGCCCGCAAGAGCAAGGAGAAGAGCCGGGAAAAGGGCCCGGCCAGTCCTGCCAACGGCCCCGGGGCCGAGGGCAACGGGGCGCCCGGCACGACCCGGGAGCTGCTGCACCCCCAGGTCTCCCCCCACCACCAGTCCAAGGAGAGCCTGAGCTCCCGGGAGAGCGAGGACACGTACTTGTAGGGCCCGGCCCGCACCCCGGGCAGCCGGGCTCAGCGGGGCTGCGCACGGACCCGGGCGCGAGGACACCGAGGGGGACCCCTGGCACCCGGCGCTGGGGGCTCTGAGCTGGAGGGATGGGACAGGGGGGCTGTGCGGCTCCGTGAGAACAGCGTGGCCCTCTCGGGGCATCCGTGGAGCTTGGCCAGGTGTGGTGACCAAAGGGGACACCGTGGGTCTGCGCTGGGTGCCCACCCCGCAGGGTGCTGGCACCACGAGCGGTGGGAGCCCGGGCAGGGGGTGGCTGAGCCACCCGAGCTCCCTCCCCACACTGGGGGGCTGGGCTGCCCCTTGGGCCCTTCTCCCCGTCCCAGAGCCCCTCGACCCATCACCCCCCGGGTCCCTCCTGTAGCCCCCACCCTGTGCCAGCCGGGCAGCCCCAGCCCTGGTTCCCGAGCACTTAGGCCTGGCACAGGGCACTAGGGGTAGACGAGGAGCCCTGGGACCCCTCGCCCCCCTCTTATCTAGTGAGGATATATCAAGCTGTAGCCCTATATGTAGTACCCAACTTACCTACTCACTGAGCCTATTTATTATTCCTCCGAGGCAGGACAGGGACCGAGGCAGGATGCGCTAGAGGCAGCGGGATTTGAGTTTTGGGGCTAAAGCCCCCCCCATCCCATCCCCTCCCATCCCCAAGTTCCCCACAGCTCAGGGGGAGTGTTTACCCTGCCAGGGCTCACCCCACCACTGCCGCCCCCCCAGGCCCAGCGCAGGTGAGACGGGGTGGGTGAGCAGCAGCCAGGTGCTCCCTGGTTGTGGGGTCCCCTCTGCCCCCCCTGCCCTCTCCGAGGGCGGGTGTTGGGTTTGTAAAATAAAGTGGGAAAAGCAGTTTTGTACAAAGGGGTCAATAAAGCGAGTGTGTAAAGGCGCAGCCCTGGCTCCCACCTCTCTTGGCCTGGGATGGAGGGTGGAGGGTGGCAGGAGGTAAGGGTGTCACCTCCCACTTGCTGCAGCAGTACCAGCTTCGGGGGGCACCCTGACCTGGACCCTACCCATGGTTCTCTGTCTCTGGGGAGCACCCTCCCCTGCATCCCATTTGCACTGGACACTGACTCTGGCATGTATCCTTCCCTGGGTCACATCTCCCCTAGCTGCCCTTGTCCTGTGGGGCAGATGCTGGGCAGTGTCCTGGGAAGGGCCACGCTGCTGTCACTGCTCTGTCACCGCAGAGGGTGGCACAGCCCTGCTGTCTCATCCAGCCTTGGGCTGACCGTTTGAAGTGGAATGGGAGGAGAAGAGACCTGCCCCAACTTGTGATAGTGGTGACTGCCAGGCTCTGGAGCACTCCCATCCCAGCAACCAGGCCTTTTCCCTTGTCCCACTGTCACAGCTCCTGTGGCTGAATAGAGCCAGGGGACCCCTAATTAATCCCATGACAACCCAGAGCTCAACTTCCCATCCCAAAATGGTGCCCACGCCATCTCTCTCCTTCTGGCAGGCAGGAATTTTGCCCAAATCTCCGTTCCTTCCTTCACAAACCCCTTTTTCAGGGGGTGGACCTGGTTTGGTGAATCCCCTCTCCAGGCCCGGTGTTGAGCATGTGGGACCCGGCTGGTTGCAGGGGGTGGGGGTAGAGTGTGGTTGGCAGTGGCGCCCAGAGGGTCTCCCTTGGTTGCACACCCTGGGCTGTTGAAGTGAGGCTGGTTTGGGCACCCCCAGGGCTGCAGTTTGGGGATACCCCGGGACTCTGAGTTGGAGCTGCTCCAGGCACCCGGGGTATTGGGAATTGTCCAAACCAGCCTGGGAATTTGGGCTGGTTTGGGCACCATGGAGTTCTGTACTGGGGCTGTTTCCGAGGCTCCGGTGCGGCTATCCCGGGTCTCCATCCCGGGAGCTCTGGACTGGGGCTGCTCCCGGAGTGCCGGGCCCGGCTCGTTGCCTCTCTCGCGGTGCGGGGCCGTGCCGGGCTTGTCCCGGGGCGGTGCCGGGCCGGGTCCCGAAGCAATGCGGGGCGGTGCCGGCCCAGGCAGGCGGTCACAGGGCGGTCCCAGCGAGGTACGGAGCGTTCCCGGATCGGTTCCTGGGCGATAAGGGCGGTCACAGGGCGTTGACGAACCGAGGCGGGGCGGTCTCAGGGTGGTTCCGGGGCGATGTGAGGCGGTCCCGGGGCAATGCGGGGCGGTCCTGGGCCGGTCCCGGGGCGGTCCCGTGTCCGCCCTTATAGCGGCGGCGGCGGCGGTTCCCGGGGCGGCGCGGCCGCCATGGACCTGCACATCCTGGAGCACCGGGTGCGGGTGCTGAGCCTGGCCCGCCGTGGGCTCTGGCTCTACACCCACTCGCTGCTCAAGCTGCTCTTCCTGCCCCAGCGCTGCCGGTACCGGCTTTTCTCCCCCCACCGGCCTCCTCCTTCTCCTCTTCTTCCCCCGACTCCCGGCCCCGGGAGTCGGCGGCGGTTTTGAGGTCAGCAGCACCGATTTCTTCTGCTTCAGATGCAAGTTCTTCAGCCTGACGGAGACCCCCGAGGACTACACGGTCATGCTGGACGAGGAGGGCTTCAAAGGTACCGAGCGGTGGCCCGCTGGCAGGCGGGCTGGCACCGCAGGCACGGGCTGCGCGTCCCCAGCCCGGCTCCACGCCTGGGCCGCGGGAGCGAGTCCCGGCTTGTGCTTGGCTCCCTCGGAACATGCCCGGCCCGTCCCGTCCCCTCGGCGCCTGCGCCGGGGATGTGCCGGCTTGCCCGGCCGGGGCTCTCCCGGCGTGGCTGCCCTCGCTCCGACAGCCCCTCCCGGGCGGAGCTGCCCCCCGGCTCGTGGCACCGTGCGGTGCCAGCCCGAAGCGCGGCTGCTCCCGGCAGGGCTCAGGCACCTCCCGGGATGCCCGCGGGCAGCGCTCCGGGCTCTGGCAGCGCTCCTGTCATCCATTCCCGCCTCCGGTTTCATCCCGTCCCTCCTCCCGCCGAGGGCCAACTGGAGCCTGGCAGAGGAGGGCAAAGCACAGGCCCAGCCAGGCTGGCAGGGGTGAGCCCTGTCCGGCAGCAGGGTCCAGCTTTTCGGGTGTCCTGGGGTGGTTTGATCCCTTCCAAGCCAGTCCCTCTCCCAGGGAGGTGCCATTTGGTGACGTCCCCACCGCGGGTGACCTGGCGCGTGCCGTGCATCACCCTCACCGCCAGCCCTGCCGGGGTACCGGCCCAACGGGCTGAGCCAGAGGGTCCGGATCCCGGCCCGCCTTCCCACGCCCAAACCTTCCTGCCGCGGCCGCAGGAGCTGGGCGCAGCGGATCCTTGGCCGTGACCCAAGGAACAAGGGTCAGCGCTCCGGCCACGGACACTCATGGCCAGGTCCCAGGCTCACCTCTTTGTGCTGTGGAACGGGACCGTGTCCCGGGCTCTCCCCGCTCCCAGAGCCAGAGCTGTTCCCCATGTATTGTTTTATTTTGGGGCTTGCAGACAAATATTCCTCAATCCCGAGGGGAGGGCGGGAAGTGCTGAACAATGGTCCTGCGAGCCTGCGGCCCGCAGTGCCCTGTGAACCCCCCTTGGCTGGGGGCTGCCAGTGTCCCCCCGCTGCAGGGGACCCCCAGCAGGGGAGAGCTGCACCCCCTCTTCCCTTGGGATCAGGATTCAGCCCTGGGGTGGGTGACACAGGGACAGCGAGGTCTCCTTGCATTCAGCCTCGCCCAGGGTGGTGTTGAAAAGCAATTAAACGCTGAGCTCTGGGACAGGTCCCCATGTCCCCGAGTCCCTGTCCCGCCCCACTGTTCCCAGCACTGGGCCCTGGGCCGGAGCCGAGGCTGTTCTGGCGCTTCCTGCACAGGAACAGGCGCTGGGAACACCCGCCGAGGCCCTGGATCCGGCCCTGCTCCCGCCCTGCCCTGGGCCGAGTTTGGGAGGGGAGTACGGAGCCTGTCCCCTGCGGGGGTCCCCCTCAGTGGGTGCTGGACCCTCCCCCGTGCGACCTCCCCTCCACCGCTGGTGTGATGAGTTTGGGGTCTCAGATGGGCTTGGGGCTGGGGGCTTGTGTGATCTCCCATGGGAGCTGCTCCCACCTTGTCTCCATTGAAGATGTGGATTGGAGACCCCCTGGGTGCCCGGGCCCGTCCCGTGCTGGGAAGGGGAGCCCAGAGAGGAGGGGGCAGCCTGGCTGAGTCCTGGGGTGCCCCAGCAGTGCCAGCCCCTCTCCTGGGCAGCAGGGTGGGAGCAAGGGAGGTGGGAGGCAGGAACAGCAGGCCTATGCCCACCCTGCCAACACCAGCAGATTTTTGGGAATTAGCTGTGGCCCTCTGCCAGCCTGGGCTCTCTCCACCAGGCTGGGACCAGGTGCTGGGACCCCCAGGACTGCGGGATGGCCCTCCCTTGTCCCCTCCGATGCCCAGTGTGCATCCCTGAACATCCCTGGTGGTGGGCGCTGGGCTGGGGGTTCCTGGGGGCAGAGGATGAGCTGGGCAGCCCCGTGGCCCTGGTGGTGCTGGTTTTGGGGTGCAATGCCAACACGCCCCTGCACCCAGCCTGGGGCCCTGGCACATGGAGGAGAGGCACATCTTGGGGGTTGGGGGGGCTGTAGCCTTGGCCCCCCTCATTCCTATGGCCAGATCCCAGTGTGGAGCAGCTGAGCCCTGTCTGGCTCATTCCACCTGTGGATGGGGCTCATCTGCACCCCAAACCAGTGTCCCCCCCTGGGGCTGATCCTGCCTTGGGGATCACCCAGGGGACAGTGTGGCACGCAGTCCCTGAGCAGGCCCTGGCTCTGTGTCCGGCTGTGCCGAGCCTTGCAGAGCCACCTGCCCCAGTGTCCCTTGTCCCTCGCAGAGCTGCCACCCTCCGAGTTCATGCAGGTGGCAGATTCCACGTGGCTGGTGCTCAGCGTGGTCTCCAACGGGCGGGAGCCCCCCGGCTGCCAGGCCACCGGTGTCACCAAGATCGCGCGCTCGGTCATCGCGCCGCTGGCCGAGCACCACGTCTCGGTGCTGATGCTCTCCACGTACCAGACCGACTTCATCCTGGTGAGTGACGGGCACAGGGGCGCGTGGCTGGCTGTCCAAGGGTCCCTCTGTGCCCTGATCCTGCTCCCGGGGCAGGTGCGGGAGCGGGACCTGCCCGTGGTGATCCACACGCTGGCCGGGGAGTTCGACATCTACAGGGAGGAGAGTGGCGAGTGTGTCCCCATCACCTGCGATGACGTGAGCAACGGCTTCCTCAAGCCCAAGCCACGTGAGTGACACTGGGCTCTGTGTCCCCTGGGGCCACCCAGTCCCACCCAGATGCTCCAGTACAGCTGGTGGTACCCGCATCCTTGAGGGACCTCCAGGGCTACCCTGTCCTCAGCGAGGTGATCCAGTTCCCACCAGTGCAACCTCCATCTTTGGCTCCCCCAAGGCCACCCTGTCCCCAGACCACACTGTCCCAGAGCCATCCAGTCCCTGCCAAGATACTGCTCCCACGGGTGGGTCCCACATCCTGGGGGACCCCGATGGTCACTCTGTCCCCAGGACCACACAAGGACTGTCCCCAGTCCTTGCCAAGGTGCTCATGCTCCCACCAGTGGTACCTACATGCCTGAGGGACCCCACCAAGATGCTCCAGTTCCCACTGGAGATGCCCATCTGGGGCCACCCAGTCCCTACCGAGATGCTGCAGCTCCCACCGCTGGTGCCCACATCCTTTGGGACCCCCGGGCCACCCCTCTGCTCCCTGAGAGACTTCGGGCTGTGGGCGCGGTGGCCACGGGGTGGCACTGCGGGACTGTCCCCGAGCTGTCCCCAGGCCTGACGCGCGGCCGTTCCCCTGCCAGCTGCCAGCCCCACGCTGCACCCGGTGCAGAGCCCCCAGACGCGCTTCTGTGTCCTGACGGTGGCCCCCGACACGCTGCCCGCCATCGCCACCATGCTCATCGACGTCCTCTTCTACTCCCACAGGTGAGTCCCGGGGATGGGGACATGGGAGTGGCCTCTTGCCTGGTGCCACCTGAACTACAGTGACATTGGTCCCAGCGGGTTTTCAGACTCTGGGTGTGTTTTCCAAACTGGTTTTGTCTTCCCGGGAGCTGCACTGTGAAGGATGGGAACCCTGAGGTGACACAAGGGACAAGGCCACCATTGTACCAAATCCCAGAGAGAAGACTAAAGCAGGAGGGGATGGGTTTGGGAAAGGCAGTGGGAATGGTGCTGGGGGGAGGGAATCCTGGTGGGGTTCTCCCATGCCCCCTGGGATGGGGTCCCTTCTGGTGGCATGCTCCTGCTCCAGAGTGACCATGGCCTTCTGAGAATGCCCCAAAACCTGGTGTCACCTGTGAGCTGCAGACCCTGTGGGGACCACCTGCTCCTGTCCCCTCTTCCCCACCCTGCAGCACCCCAGCATGATGCTCAGACACCCAGTGCACCACCAAGCCCTTCTCCTCCCCATTTTGGGGGTCATGACCCCTCCGTGTGTCCCCCTGCCCCTCAGCAGCCCCCCCTGGGATGCAGCCACCGGCAGCCAGGACCTCGACTCCATCACCTTCTTCTCCTTCTCCCTCATCGAGGGCTACATCTCCATCGTGATGGATGCCGAGACCCAGAAGCGGTAGGTGCCATCCCGGGGCTGTCTGTCCCTCTGTCCCTGGGTCTGGGGGCTCAGGGAGGGGGTGACACTTGGCTTCATCCCCCTCAGCTTCCCCAGTGACCTCCTGCTGACCAGCTCGACGGGGGAGCTGTGGCGGATGGTGCGCATCGGGGGGCAGCCCCTCGGCTTCGGTGAGTGAGGCCCTGCTGGCCGTGTCCCCTCTCGTGCCACTGCCACCCAGGGGGTGCTGTGGGGCACTGCTGTCCCCGCACGTCCCCGTGGCAGTGACCTGAGGCCCCCTTTGCCCCCAGACGAGTGTGGCATCGTGGCGCAGATCGCGGAGCCGCTGGCGGCCGCCGACATCTCGGCCTATTACATCAGCACCTTCAACTTCGATCACGCCTTGGTGAGCCCTGCCCCTTCCCGGGGACCCTGCCAGCCCCGGGGTGTCCCCTGAGGCTGACACCCCCTCTGTCCCCCGGCAGGTCCCCGAGGAGGGCATTGCTGAGGTGATCCAGCTGCTGCAGCAGCGGCAGGAGGGCGGCAGATAGCGGCTGTCCCCGGAATGACTGTCCCAGCGCGGTGTCCCCCCTCCTCCCCACCCCTGTTCAGTAATTGTTCGTTTTAATGATCCCCCGGCACAGGACAGAGCGGGCACAGCATCTCTCCCTCTGTGCTGGGGATGTGGTGGCTTTGGGGACGTGGTGGCCCTGTGGCAGTGAGCACTGGCCCCCAGGAGAAGGGTCAGTCCCTGGGTGCCATCCTCTCCCTCTAGCCTGGCCTGTGTGGGGTGGGTGGCCCAGGGAGAGTGGCTGTGTCCAGGTGGAGGGGACATGGCGGGGACATGCCAAAGAGCAACATGGTGCTATAGGGGACAGCCTGGGGCTGATGGGATGTGTCCCCTTGGGAAGGGAGCAGTGGCCACAATGCTCAGGGACACCCCTGGACTAGCCCCGTGGAGGGAAGAGCATTCCTGGAGCTGGGGTTCCCCTGGCACCCCCAAAATCTCCAAGGGGGCAGTGGAGGGGCTTTGGTTCAATGCCAGCCCTGGCTGTCACCGGTCATGGAGGAGTGACAGTGACACCCAGCACCTCACAAGTTGTATTTTCACATAGTTTTTGATAAGTCAATAAAATTCTTATTGTTTTTATTTCTGTGTAGCCCAGGGACGTTGCCCAAAGGTGGTCTCTGTGTTGGTGGCAGGGGCTGGGATGGGACAAGGGGACGGAGTCTGGCTGTGAGGTGACTGGGACACGGCCACTTTCTCTACTCTGTATTTTGGGTGAAAAAATGGGTTAAAGCTGCATCCCCCAGCAAATCACCAGCCCCAGAGAAACCCAGGCCCACATTTATGCCCTCCCCCTGCCCCACACTGAGCCACACTGGGGGGAAACTCAGGCAGGAGCTTGACCCCAGGCCTCGGGATGTCCCTGTCACACTGCCACTGTGTCCCCACGTCCTCTTCCCTTGCTGGCAGCACGGCATCCTGTGGCAAAGTGGGGTACACGGGGTGGGGGCTGTGCCCTCCTGGGGGTGCTGCTGCCAGTGGGTGCCCCCAGGGGGGTCTGGACCTCAGCCAGACCCAGCATGAGCCTGGTGGGGACCTCTGCTCCCATCCTGTCCCCAAAATCCATCCCCTGCTCTCCCACATTCTGAGCACCACCGTGCTCCCATCCTGGCACGTCTTGCCCACGTCAGCCACGCACTCTTGCAGCCACCAGCTTCCTGCCAGCTCTCCGGGCGCTCTCTTTCCTGTCTCGGTCCCTTCTCCGAGTCATGGGACACCGGTGACGCGCTCCCGGCGATGAAGAAATTGCCGCTGGCCGTGCGGTCACCGGCGCTATTTTTGTCCTCCTGGGTATTGCAAGTCCTGGCCACAGAGTTGCCATCAGTGGGGTGGCCACCACCACGGTGTCCTGCTGGCCCAGCCCAGGGGGTGACAGTGCCATATGGAGGGGCCAGGGCCAGCTGTGGCCAGGGGAGAGCTGAGGGTGGAGCCCTGATCACCCTCAAGGCAGAGGATGGATGGATGGATGGATGGATGGATGGATGGATGGATGGATGGATGGATGGATGGATGGATGGATGGATGATCATATGGATAGACAGGTTAATGCATAGCTGAACAGGTGGAGGAATTCTTGGATGGGTGCACAGATGATGGATCGACAAGTGGATGGATGGATGGATGGATGGATGGATGGATGGATGGATGGATGGATGGACAGCTGGTGAACAGCCTGTCAAGGCAGCCTGAGGGATGGACAAACTGCTGTGGAGCGAGCAAGATCTTCTCCTGGTTCCTCCACCTTTCCAGGACTGCCCTGGGCACAGCCCTCCCCACCCCGGCCCCACGGGACCCACCGCAGCCGCCACCTCTGCCGGGGAGGCCCCGGGGAGGAGGAAGAGGAGGAGTCGTCAGAGGCAGCGGGTGGAGGAAGCAGACCGTGCAGGTCGTGGCGCGGCCGGGGCAGGGAAGTTCTGGGAAAAGAAAGAACTTCTAAAAGTGAGTGACCGCTGCATCCTTCTTCCTGGAAGGAGCTGCTAATTTCTGTCCCTGCGCCATCACCGAACTCTCCAAATGCGTAAATTCGGCGAGGGTCACCAAATTCAACGGGATTGCGACACGCCTCGGCACGCTGAGCAGAGACATTCACCTCTAAGGAACGGGAAAACCCTTGTCGGTGCCGGGCTCTGCCTGCCAGGAAGGGGAGCCAGGGGGACAGAGGGGACTGTCCTGGGTGCCTCTGGCTGTGCCGAGGCCGTGGCAGCCCCAGGGCTCTCCCAGGGCAGCGTTGCACAAGGGGCAGCGCTGCCTTGGGCAGCACCCGGCGCCCTCGGTGTTCCGTGGGTGCTGCCGGGCACAGAGGCTAAGCCTGGTGTCCCCCACTTGGTTCAGCACCCCAGTTTGTCACCCAGAGGTGTGGGTGGGTGTGAGCAGGTGGACGGAGCATCCCCTGGAGCATCAGGCAGTGCTGGGATGCTGTGCACTTCCCACACCTCCATCTCCCTCCTTGCCAGGGTAGATTTTTGCCTCCCACAGCTGGATTTGGGATGCGAAACCCCCCGTGGTGGCACACGGGTGACATCCCTGTCCCCGCTGCCAGCCGCCACTGCCCTCTTTTGCATTGGGGTTTCGGGGCAGCCGGCGCTGGTTTCAGTTCAACCTGTCGGGTGCTGAGCGGTGACACCAGCGGGAACCAAAAGGTCTCTTTCCCAAGAAGCCCAGGATTTCCCAGGACCCGGGGGTCCTGCCGGCTCCGGGCTGAGCGGTGGGACCGCAGCCTCTCCGGCCGGACCCACCCGGACTCCCTCGAGGAACTGACTCGAAGAACATCCCCAGCACCGTCCGGCCCCGCTTCCTCCCGCGCTGCTCTCACCCTGCTCATTGGCCCCCGGGACACGGCTTCACTTCTCGCTGCCTTCCGCTGTCCGGGTGCCTCCTTCGGAGGGGTGACTCGGGTGCGCTTTAAAAGCCGCGCTTCCCCATCGCCGAGCGCTTAAGGAAGTGGCTTTGCGCGCCCGGCAGCCCCGGGCGGACACCCTGCCCCGGCCATGCGGTGCGACGGGCGGCCCTGGGCAGTGCTGGCAGGTACGTGTGTGCCCGTGTGCCCTGGCCCCGCGGGCCCTGTCGCTCGCCCCGGCCGGGAGCCGCGGAGGGAGCGCGGCCGCGGGGCCCCCGTGGCTGTGGAGTCAGCGATGGCACCGAGGCTGTGCCACGGCAGTGTCGCCTCCCTCGGGCGCTGGCGGGGACGGGGTCATTCCCCGCTGAGGCACATGGGGAGCGCTGGGAGTGGGCAGCCAGGGAGAGAGGGGATGCTGGGAGCGGCAGGCAGGAGGGGACAGTTTGGGGACCAATGGCGGAAGGTCAGGGGTCAGCTTGCCCAGAGGGACAGAGGCTGCGTGTCAGCCCAGTGCCATATCCAACGTGCCGTGGGTGACAGAGGGACTGGGACAGTGACTGGCAGAGCTGGACAGCGGGACTGGATCCAGGAGTGTCGCTGCTGTCCCCTCCTTTGCGGTGGCCCGTGCTGGAAGGGGGAGCTGCTGGAGCAGCTGCTGTGGTTGGTCTGCGCATCCCGGCCGCTTGCTCCACAGCACCTCCAGCACCCTCCTCCTCCTCCTCCCGGCGGGTGCCCGGCAGGTTTTTGGCGCAGGGTCTGTGGTGCAGGCAGCACTCCTGGCACAGGGGTGGTGACCCTGTGAGAGGGCTGTCCCTGCACCCAGCGATGTCCCAACGGCCCCTGACTCCCTCCTCTTCGTCCCCAGCTGTCGCCAAAGGGCTCCTCATCCTCTGGGCAGTGCCGGGCCAGGGGGGCAGGTCCCCGCTGGCCCCCACCGTGCAGCAGACCCAGGCGCTGGTGAGGCTCATGGCCGAGGACGCGCAGGAGCTCTTCACCTTCTATGTGAGTCCCCTTCCCAGCGCGAGGGGTCACGCCTGTCCCCTCCACAGGGCAGCCGGGGGGCGGTCCCCGTGCTGCTTCCACATCCCTGATCTTCCTCTCCAATCTCTGGGCAGGAGAAGGAGCAGCACCTGGCCATCCACAATATCTGCCGCACCAACAACACCCCCGAGTGGCTGCAGAGGCCGGCCAGGGGGCCCTGGGGGCTGCGGAGGCTGCGGAGGCCCATGATCCACATGGAGCAGGCGCTGCAGGACATCATCCGCCACCAGCGCGACCTCCACCACCCCGAGGCCGAAATCCTTCGCCGCCTGAACAGGACCCGCCTGAAGGTGCGAGCGCTCCTCAGCAACCTAGCCGGGCTCTTCTCGATCCCCGGCCCCCGCCCCGGCCGCCGGCCCCTCCCCAGCCCCGCGGCATCCCTCGGCATCTTCCGACAGAAGCTGCAAGGCTGCCGGATCCTCTGGAGCTACGCCCGCTTCATGGCCGAGCGCAGCGCCGAGCTGGGCGCCGGGAGCCGCCGGACGCGCCGGGAGCAGGGGAGATCGCCCCGGGGCTCACGGCTGCCCGCACGGCCCTAGGGCAGCCCCGCCGGCAGCGGAGCTCCCGTCTGCAGCTCCCTCATCTCCATCATCTCCATCTCCGTCCCACGTGAGGCGATCTCAACCGCATTCCCAGGATGGAGAGGCATCCGATGGCCGGGATGCCCCACGGAGCCCGTCTCACCTCACCCGGGCAAGGGCTCGGATGCACTGACGGCATCTCCCGCCGCTTCGGCTGCTCGTGGGGACCCCGCTGTCCCCGAGCCACCACTGGGCTGCAGGACAGCCCTGGCTGGTTCTCCCACCTCCTGCCCCGCTTTCCCGAGGATCCAGGTGGCCCCAGTGGAGCCGGGTGTCCCCCGGGTGCCCAGCTGTTCCCTGTCCCCGAGCCCTGCCGGATTTTCCAGTGATTCAATGGGTCGGCTGACACAGCCTGACTCAGAGCTGCTCGCCCAGCACCCGCCACGGGCCCACGGAGAGCGCCGCGGCCACCGGCGGCTGTCACCGGTGTTGTCACCCACTGCCCGCTGCCAGCTCTGCTCCCAGGGAGAAGCTGGGAGTGGAATCCCGTGTCCCTGCACGGTCTGTGTCCCTCTGTGCTTGGTGTCCCCGAGCTCAGTGTCCCTTTGCACATCCCGGTACGCTCAGTGTCCCCTGTGCTCGGTGCCCCTGTGCTCTCAGTGTCCCCAGGCTCACTCCTGCACTCTGGGTGTTGCCATACTCCCAGCATCCCTGTCCCCTCCGTGTCCCCCCTGAGCCTCCCAGGCCGTGCCAGCACAGCCCTGACTGTGCCCAGCAGGGGCTCAGCTCTGGCCACTGCACTGTGACAGTGGGTGACAGCTCCCACTGCCTCCCCTTTATTTATACATTAATATTTGCCTGTTTATTGTATTTATTGATTGTTAGGGTTAATTTAACTCCTACAGCTTGCAGAAGTATTTAAGGACATTTCTAATATATAAATATATATTTTTATTATTTTTTGTACAGTGTTAAACTATGAACATCACAAGGATTTATTTATGTATATTGATATTTTTGGTACACATAGATGGGCAGTGCCCCCGCCCACGTGGCACTTCTTTATTTTTGTACAATGGCAGAAGGAAATAAAGTGCTGACCTTGGCCCATGGGCCACTGAGACGTTGTGTCCCTGTGTCCCTCTGTCCCTGTGTCTGTCCTGGTGGCGGTGGGCAGGGAGAGGCTCTGTTCTGGTGGCCAGGCTGTGCCTGGTGTCCTTGCCAGGGCACACGGGATGTGACATGGAGTGGTGTGGGGCATGTGGGACAACATGGTGTGACACATGGCATGGCACAAGCTGGGATGTGGCCCGTGGCATGGCCCAGGATGTGGCACTTCATAGTGGGGCCCATGGCACGGGACACAATGTGGCACAGGATGGGATGTGGCACAGGACGTGGCACACAACACAGCGTGACACAGGGCATGTGACATGACAGGCTGTGGTGTGCCACCACAGGGCCTGGCACTGCCAGGGATGTGCCATGCCAGGGAATGGCACAGGCCACACGACACCTTGTGCCACGTGTCACAGCCCCGTCTGGGCCATCACCACAGCCACAGACTCAGCAGTGAGTGCAGTGTCCTGCAGCCTGCCCAGGGCCACCATGGGGACCGAGCCACCCACTGCCACCGGTCCCTCTGAGTCAAAAATCCTAAGACCTGGTCATGTGTCCCCGTGGAGTCACTCGTTCCCGTGGGTGCCGTGTGCGGCCGGAGCGCCCGGCTCTGCCGCCGGCACTGCTGCCTGACTCAGTCCCGGCAGTGCCACCGGGACGGCCACCACGGCAGCTGGGGACACTCGTGTGGGACAATGTCACCATGAAGCAGCCCGGGCCAGCTCGGCGTGCTGTGGGTGACCGTGGAAGTGACCGTGACTGTGCCACCACCGGGCCGCCCACCCGGCTCTGGAGAGGGCTGCGGAGGGGAGGGTGCAGGTACGTGACCCCCGGGAGGGCTGGGGGACCCCAAACACGGGGTGACACCAGCTGAGTGTCACTGAAGGGGTGGTGGCTTCTCTGGTGTCCCCAGTGGGACACCCAAGGGAACCCCAGTGCCCACTCATGGGGAAAGCCTGTGGGTGACACCTGTGGGATGACACTGCTGGGGTGGCACCAGTGGGGTGACATTGGTGGGCACAGGGACAGGGGGAGGCAGCCCCGGCAGGGACCCATCGTGAGTCCAAGGAGAATTCGGTGCCCTCCATTACTGAGCTCTGGACTTCCCCAGGCCAGGAGCCCCTGCCCCGCTCAGCCCCCCGGGAGGGCTCCCTGGACACCCCCTGACACCCCACAGCCTCGCCCCCGCTCCTGGGGGACACGTGGGGCTTTTGGTGACCCCAGAATCTGGGTGGCACTGGAATCCGGGTGTCCCCCTGCATGGGGACACTGCGGGATGGGGACGTGGAAGGGAGAAAGAGGGGGATAAGGATGGGGTGTGGGGGGCAATTATGGGGTGGGGCAGAAATGGGGGGAGCTGGGGCAGTTCTGAGAGGGGCTGGGGCAGGGGGGACAGTGACGGGATGGGGAAGGGCAGGAGGGGACAGCTGCTGGCTGGGGAGATGAAAGGTCTGGGGTGGGGAAGGGGCGGGGGGCAGCTGCAGAGCAGGGATGTGATGGGTCAGTTCTGGGTCGGGATGGGGTGGTGGGGGCAATTATGGGATGGGGAGAGGCCAATTCTGAGCTGGAGCAGCAGGGGGCAGCACGGGGACAGGGATGGGACAGGAATGGGGACAGGGATGGGACAGGGATGGGGACAGGGATGGGACAGGGATGAGCGGACATGGAACAGGGATGAGGAGGGGGACAGCATAGGGACAGGGAAGAGGGAACAGCAGGGGGACAGGGATGCGGCAGAGAGGCGTCATGGGGACAGGAAGGGGACAGGGACGGGGTGGGGTGTCTGCGATGGAGCTGAGGACAGCGGCGGGCAGGGATGCTCAGAGGGGAGCGCTCGGAGGGGCCCAGAGGAGCAGCAGCAGAGGCCTTGGAACACCCTGGCCTTGTCCTCCTGTCCCTGGGCAGGCCAGCGGTGGGGATCGAGGGGGCAGTGGGGACACTGGGGACACTGGGGACAGCTGTCCCCTCACCAAACTGCCCCAGCTCCTCCTGGGGCCCCCCAAATCCCACAGGTCCACGACCCTCAGTCTCTCCTGACAGGGAGGGCTCCCCCCGGCCCCGCTTCCCGCTCCCTCCTGGGGACACGCCGGGACCCCCGCCCCTGTCACGGTCTCCTCAGGCTGCTGCAGCCCCACTCCTGCTGCCTGTCACCACCCGGCATCGGCACAGGGTCTGTGCGGGGATATTCCTGCTGCCAAAGGGATTGGGGAAGGGGATATTCCTGGTACCTCCCACCCTGGCATCTCCCATTCTGCCGTCTCTCTGTCCAGCCTGTCTGGACCAGCAATTCTGTATTTCCCACCTGAGCATCCCCCCTGCACAGGTCCAGCGTCTCCCCGCGGGTTTGTCTTTTTTCCTGGAGAAAACCCATCCTTTAATCCTAACGCTTTTGCCCCAAGGGCTGAGCTGCAGGTGGGGGCACCGGTGCCACCTTGATGATCCCACCATGACCAGGGGTCCCACAGCCCTCGGGGGACCTCAAAGCCCAGCTCAGCTCCAGCCTAGACTCAGTTGCCCCTGGGAAATCCAAGAAAAGGGCAAATCCTTGTCAACCCCTGCACACAACCCACCCCCCCAGGATGTTGCCTATGCTAATAATTAAGTGCTATTAATTCTTCAGCTAATTAAGTGTGTCAGGCCGTCAGATGTCCATCAATATGAGATGTGCTGCTCCCCATATCCTAAAAAGACTGGGATGAGGCTGCAGGGAGGGAGATGGAGCTCATCGTCCCTGCCCTCCACAGTCCCCAGCTCATCCCTGATGTCCCGCTAAGACCAGACTGGGCTAAACTGGGCTGGGGCATCAATGCCACCGGCAGACCAGGCTGGTTCTTGCACAGGGAAACTGAGGCACGCAGCAGCTATGGCCCGGCCCCGCTGGTACAGAGGCGTCTTCTTGTCCCCCCTCGTGTCCCCCCTTAAAGGGAGGACGCCCGGGGTCGTGGCGGCTCTTGCGTCATCGTTCCTGGACTGTCACCGCCGGTTCACCTGCCGGGCCACAAACTTGCTAAACCTGATTAAAGCTTCAGTTCGGCCCCGGTGAGAAAAAATACAGAGAAGGGCAAAAAAAATCCATTTAACCTGTTTTTCACCCACATCGGGCAGCGAACAGCCCCGCAGTGTCCTGATCCCACGGAGTCCTCACGAGACGGTGACCCAGCGCCCTCCTGTCCCCTCCAGCACCCTCTGCCCGCTCCAGGCAGGGGACAGCCCCGCAGAGGGAAGGGTTAACCCGGGGGGGCCGGTCCGGCCTCTCCCCTGGCTGGGTTTGTCCTTTTTCCTGCAGAAACCCACCCTTTACTGATAATACTTTTGCCCAAAGGGATGAGCCAGCGGCGGGCTGGGGGACACCGCTGCCACCGCGGCCATCCCGCCGTGACCGCGGAGTGCGGCACCCCACCACCACTTCCCCGCGCCTTCCATCCCTCCAAAAGCCCAAACAAACCCCAAACCAGACCTTTTTACCTCCTTCATTTTACTGCTTGCTCCGGCAGCCAGCGGGGAAGCCTCGGCCCGGGGAGGGGGACCGGGGGTGACAGTGCTTGCGGCTCCCGAGTCCCAGCACCGCTCCTTCTCCGCCGCTCCTCGACACCCCCGAACCCCGTGTGCACCTCCCTTGGGGGGGCTTCAATTCATCCCTTCCAGCCCACCCACTTCCCCGAGCCCGCGCGTAAAACAAAAGAGGACACAGTGCTTTTTCTCAGAAGTTTATTTCGAATTATCATGTTTAAGCCCTCCGACTTCCTGATTCCCAAATTCAATGGAAGTAACTATAGCCGATCCGATGATTCTCTCCCCCCCCCGCTCTTCTCCTCCCTCTGACTCCGCAGGCTGGCTGCCGGACCGGTATATAAACCCCGAGAAGTCCCCCAGTATGAACATGAATTTCTGAAAACTTCCTCTGCCAACACCAATCCCTATTAAGTCGCTCCCGGGACGCGGCTCACAATGAAGTTCGTGCCGGCAGGTAAAAAAAAAAAAATCGACTTTGGGGATACTATTTCCCCTTCTCCCCCTCCCCCTTTTTTCCTCCCCCTCCCCTCCTTTTGCCGGTGATGCTCGGGCGCAGGCGGGTCCCGGTTGGATGCCGCCGCTGGAGCCGGAGCGAGGGCTCCCGCCGCGCTGCGTCCCCCCCGGGATGAGCATCTCTGGGAATTGGCAGCGGGAGCGGAGCGCGGCGCTGGCGCGGTCCAGCCAACATCTGGACACTTATATAACTGGAAATGCTTCCAAGGAAAAAAAAAAATCTCTAGGAGGGGGGGATTTTTTTTTTTTTAATTTTTTTTACTTTTAAATACTTTCTCCCCCGCTGCCGCTTTTCCTCCTTCTGGGTCTCCCGATGCCTCAAGCCGCTGCCGTGCAGGGAGCGGTGGAAGGATGGGGAGGCTGCCAAGTGCAGCAGCGGGGTCGGAGGGAGCAGCCCCCAGCCCAGAAGCCGTTCTGGGGGTCCCACGGGGCAGCACCCACCGGGGACTCCCCACCCACCCAGATCCCGGCACACGTGGGGCAGAGCCTCTCCCTGCCCAGCTGTGAATGGGCGGAACAGCGGCCGGGGGGGCACAGCGAGAGGGGCTCCTGAGGCTCCGGGAATCTGCATCCCCTGGGAACAGCCGGGGCCCCGGGGGCGCGGGGGGCAGGGTCCCCCCGTCCCGTGCGGGAGGGGAGCGGCGGGTCAGGGACTGGAACACGCCCAGGTAAATCCTCTCCCACCTGGGCAGGGTAAATAAATCGAGGCTCGGATTACCCGGCACCGGCGGCACGTCCGAGGCGCTGACAAGTGCGGGCGACTTCGGCGCTCGTCACTGCCCGGGGACTTCGCCTGGCAGTCCCACCGCGGCGGGGCACGGGACCCCCACCCTGACGGGGCCCTGCTGGTGGCATCCAGGTCACCCAGCGGCGGGGACACCCTGGCCACCCTGCCCGAGGTCGCCCAGCGCAGTGGCGGGCTCCAGAGGCGGTTTGGCCTCTCCGAGCACGGGTGGATCCCGGTTTGGGGGGTCCCAGCGGACTGAGGCTTGCAGCGCCCCGCTCTCAGCACGGAACGCCGGGGCGACCCAGCTGCCGGCGGCTCAAGGGTCCCCTTGTTCCGCGTCCAGGGACTTCCTGGCTGGAGTCTCCGGCAGCTGCGTCGTCTCTCCCCAGGGCTCCTCGGCGCTGCGCCCACTTCTCAGGCGGGGAAACTGAGGCAGGCCGTGGGGCCGGGAGCGGGAGGAAGGAGGGAGGGCACGCCGAGAGCAGGTTTCCTTGCGGGAGCCCCGCTGAGTCAGCCGGGCCGGGGTGGGGCCTTGCTCCCGTAGCGCCCGGACCAGGATAACGGAGGAAAAAGCGTCTTGCACGTTTGATTAAACACGACAGGTCGCCACCGGGCCGGTTGCGAAATGTGGGAATGCTGCGGGGCCCCTCGCCGGGAAGGGAGGCGGGGGAGCGCCTGCCGGGGGGCAGGTGAGGGGGACGGCAGCGGGATGGGAGCTGCGGCACTGCCGGGACGGCAGAGCGGGGGGTCTGGGGATTCCAGCCGATCTGGGTGCACACCCCGGCGGGTGAGTCCCTGCTCCTGCTGGACACCCTCCTTCTGGGTGCCTGGAACTGGGATCATCCTGGGTGGATGCATCAGCGACAACGTGATGGGCCAGCATCGCCTCGTCCCGGTCCCCACCGTGACAGCGGCCTCTCTCCCCACACAGGCGTCGTGCCCTTCGTGGCCCTGCTCCTGCTGCAGCGGCGGCCCGTGGCCGGCCGGGCGCTGCTGGTCACCGGCTCCGGCTGCCCCAGCCACGGCTTGTGCCGCTCCAACGTGCAGGAGCAGACGCGCAGGCAGGTGGCCGTGCTCAACGCCACCGCCCAGGAACTCTTCAGCCTCTACGTAAGTGGCGCTCGGGGACGGCCGGGGGTCACGGCGGGGGGACTGAGCCCCAGGGACGTGAAGGGGAAGGGCTGGGGACACCGCGGGGACGGTGGCAGGGGGGACACGGGGTGACGTGGGGTGACGCTCGCCTCTCCCCCCAGCTGAAGTGCCAGGGAGAGCCGTTCAGCAGCGAGAGCGACAAGCTCTGCAACCCCGCCGGAATCTTCTTCCCCGCTTTCCGCGTGAACCGGACGAGCGAGAGGAAGGAGGTGATGGTGGCCATGTACAAGCTCTTTGCCTTCCTCAACGCCTCGCTGGGCAACATCACGCGCGACCAGGAGGAGCTGAACCCCATGGCCAAAGAGCTCCTCGAGCGGCTCCACAACACCACCAAGACCACCCGAGGCCTCATCTCCAACCTCACCTGCCTCCTCTGCAAGAACTACAACATCTTCCAGGTGGACGTCAGGTACGGGGACAGCTCCAAGGGCAAGAGCGCCTTCAAGAAGAAGCAGCAGGGCTGCCAGGTGCTCAGGAAGTACGTGCAGGTCATCGGCCAGGCAGCACGTGTCCTCCTACCTCATCTCAGCCCCTCATGAGCGCCCGCCCCGGCTACGCTGCCTCTCTGCTGCTGGGCGGCCCCCGCCGCTGCCTCCCGCATTCCCGCCTTCCTATTTATTACCCGGACCCTGCGTCGGCCCCATCCGCCCTCCGGTAATTTATTACCCCTTGAGGGGGTGAACGTTGCAGCCCGGAGTGTCCCGGGCAGAGCAGAGCCGGCATCCAGCAGGACGAGGCAGCGCATCTCCGAGGAGCACGGGCTGGTCCCAGGATGTGCCTCAGCCATCCCCGGGCTCCCGCGGGCTGTGGGGGTGGCGGCGGGGCCGGACTCTGTCCCCCACAGACGGTGTCATTATGGAGAGCACCTGGACACATGCCCTTGAGCACCGTCTGAAAGCTGTCGCTTCCCTGGAGAAAAGATTGTGAGGAAGACCACTGGGATGCAGGGACTTGGACACGTGGGGACATGGGGACACGCTCCCCCTGCCCATTTTAAGGCTGGGTTCCCCTGCAAGGAGTCAAACTGAAGGTACTGAGCCACAAACTGGTGGCTGTGCTATCTAGGGCTGGGTCCCACTGTCTGGGACAAGGCCACCTGTGTGGGACAGTCACCCCACTGTGGAGCATCATCCCCCCGCGCGGGCACGGCGGGGCACGGTCCTCTCCTTTGGAAAAGTGCTTTTCCCTTCGGAAGAGCTCTGAATGTACTAATGGCCAAGAGCTGGGCTTTACATGGCTGAATGCAGCCCTGGTGGGGACATGGGACAAGGGGACACGGGGACATGGGACATGGGTACATGGGATACGGGGACACAAGGACATAGGGATGTGGGATATGGGGACGTGGGGACACAGGGACGGGCCCCAGGTCGGTGGCAGGTGGCGCTGGCGCGTTCCTGACACCAGAGCGGGCTGTGAGGGTTATTTATTGCCTTCGTGGAAAGCCCAGAGTGCACTGAGAACTGACTTTTAACTATTTTATTGCCAATAATTGCTAATAATTAATAATAAGATTTGTGGTAATATATTCCTGGAATTCTATTTAAATATTTATTTTTTTATATTTCTTGCTCTACTTTTTTAAAATAAACCAATAGAAACAGACTGTATTTGGCTGCTCTTCCTTGGGTGCCGTTTGTGCTCACCCTCAGACACCTCTGCTCCCCTAAAGCACCCTCAGGGAAAAAACCCCTCGAGGCATGGCTGTGGATCACAGTCCCCTGTCACCTTGTTCCTTCCTCCCTTCCCACCTGCTATAGGACGGCTGATTTGAAATATATTTTTCCGGGTGGGAGGAATGTTTAAATTGACTCACCAGCTGCTCAGAAGTGCTGGGATGGTGTGGAACCATCGTGGTGCAGGGACCATTGTGGTGCAGGAACTGTCCTGGCATGGGGAGCATCGTGGTGTGGTACCACTGCAGCGTGGGGAGCATCATGGCACGGGCACCACCACAGTGAGGGGACCATCCCAGGGTGTGGAGCACCGTGGTGTGGGGAGCCCCACTCTGCCAACCCTGGAAGTTCCTGTGGAAACGGAGAAAGGCTGGGAGGAGGCTGAGGGAGCTGAGTGAGCATGTGCGAGGTGGAGGGGACACACCAGATAAAATCAAAGCCGCTTCCCAGGCTGTGCTGGGAGAGGCTCAGCAGAGCTTTGCCGGGGCCAAGACCACCTAAGGCTGCACCAGCAGCCCAGTGCTCAGCGAGCGCCTCGCATGGGGCTGTATCGGTTAACAAGAGCCTGATTATACAGGAGACGTTGGAGCAGGATGATGAAATTTTCCTCCTCCTCCGGAGCCCTTGGGCCACTGGCCAAACCTCCCAGGCATGAGACAGCAAGCGGATGAGCTAAGATCCTGTGTGATCATCTCTCATGTCTCAGAGGAGCCCCAACCTAAAGATCACCACAGAAATTCAGAAGTTGCCCCCTAAGCCCCTCTTCCTCTGCCCTGCGGAGCCGTGTTGCCCAGCTGCGCCCCTCAGCTCCTATGGGAGGTTTTGTGGCATGGATTTGACCCCAGACTGGCACTGCCTTGTGCCAGTGGCAGCCTTGTGCTTCACCAGTGGTGACAGAGGGCCAGTGGTGCCCATTTCCAGCCTGGCCCTGCTGTCCCTTCATGGAAGGGGCAATGCCAAAACAGAATGGGCTCCTCCATCTCACAGCTGAGGCACCCAGGGACATCCCTGGATGCCATGGTGTCTCTCCATGCCTGATGTGGCTTTCTTCCATCATCCAGCCTGCCACCAGGGAAGGGGCCCTGGGTGTCCCCTGTGTCCCTTCCCTATAGGATGCCCATTTTGGAATTGCAGCCCATTTGTGGGGCTCGTTTCCTGCCTGCACTGTGGGATACAATGCACTCAAAGCAATACAACCCTCCCCAAAACACAGGCATGGGGCAGGGCATCATCACTTTAGGATGGGCATTATGCCCCAGGACCAGTCCTGCAGCACCTGTCACCATGGCACCCTGATGGCTGCCAGTGTCACCCTGACCCTGCAGCTGGGGACACACAGGTGTCCCCATGGCTATTGTTACCACGGCATTATGTGGCCAACAATTCCTATGCTGGGAAGTTCAGGGCTGGACATCCAAACGTAGCCTTTCCTTGTGTCAACACCCACAGTTCATCGCCGCCAGGGACGTGGAAGGTGCCGTGGGGTGCCACCAACCCGCCCCGGGCAGCTCCAGGGCTGTCAGGGCCCGGGGACAGGGTCGGGCCCGGCGGGGCCGGGAGCTGGGCTGGGGACGATGTGAGCGAGGAGCCGTGCACATCTGGATTTCTCACGCTTGCGTTCAACATCCCTCCTCAACCAGATGGCAAAAATAAATAAATAGAATAAATCACAGCCTCCTGACATAAATCGGGAACTCACGCCCCGGCTCTGCGTTTCATGAGTCTCCCTGGAAGACAGTCAAACACAGGCGAGGACAATGGGTTCACTTCTCCCCTGTGTCGGGTCATTCCCAGTTAAGGCTCATTAGCAGCAGGCGCGGTATTAACTCTTCCTTCCCTGGAAACGCGTGGACAAGCCCCTAAAATTCCCCCAATCCCTTTCTCTATCCTCCCATGAGGTTTGGGATTTGGGGCCGGCGGTGACCCCCGGCTCGTGCCATCGCCCCAGCGAGGCAGGACGCGCTGCTCTGCTCATCCCAGACTCGGGAGAGATGGAAAGGGCTTTCAATTACCTCAGCCAGCGGCTGATCCCACCCAGCCGGCGCCCCGGGGAAGCGGGCCAGCCCCGCGAGCCGGACCGGGAGCGCCGCGAAGGACCCGGCGCTGCGGCTTCCCCAGGGGCACCGGCAGGACCCTGTCAGTGACTCCCCTTCGGCCCCAGGACCAGAGAAACTCTGTTGGCTGGGACGAGAGCCAGGAGGGGCTCCGGGGAGCCATCCGTTGCGATGGGAGCGATGCCCGCGCCCCGATAACGGAGCGGCCTGACCACGGGCCCCGAGCGGCGGGTCAGCGCTGCCTTCGGGGAGCGGGATACGTGAGGAGCTGCTCCTGCCCGCGGTGAAGTCAGTGCCGCTGCCTGGGTGTGACTGACTGACCTCAGCCCTTGGCCCCGCGGCGCGGATCATGTGCTGCCTGACGCCGCGCGAACCCGGCCGGACGGGCCCTGCGCTGCCCCGGGGCCACCGGCCAGACGGGACTTGCCGTCCGCGGGGCAGGTGCGGGGCTGGGGCACCGCCGGCTGCGCGTCTCCTGCGCGGCTTGACCCGCGCTGCATCCCCGGCACCGAGCCGGCGGGAGCATCCCGAGCGGGGCTGACCTCGCCGGCAGAGCCGGGGGTGGCGGTCGGGTCGCTCCCTGAGAGATGCCAGGTGGAGCATCCCGCCTTCCCCCGTGTGCACACAGGCTGGGGTGGGACCCACTGGTGCCCAGGGCAGAGCCCCTTCCCCACCCGGGGGTGCCCCCAAGGCTCGGCACTGGCCAGACGCGTTTGGCTGGTGACCATCCCCCCAGCAGGTCCTCAAGCCGGGTCCCCGAGGACGGGAACATCGCATCCCGAGGGCCGGCTGGAGGCTGCATCCCGGGCTGGCCGCCGGCCCGAGCACGCAAAGCAGAGCCGAGCCCATCTGAAACGCATTCGGGCACTGTTGCTGCAATAGCAGATGCTCCTGCGGGTCGCCGGCCACATCACAGCCCGGCGGAGAGGGAACCGCGCGCTCACATGGGAAGAAACAGTTCTTGTCCCAAACGGCTCGAACTCCTAATTGGGGACCAACCGTGACAAATAAACAAGACAATGGGCTGGAGGCGAGACGAACGCAACCTCTGTCGCAGGACCCGGCTCCGAGAGCCGCCCCCGTGCCCAGCAGGGGACCTGGCACAGGCCCGCAAGAGCCGGGGGGAGGGCAGCGGCCAGGATCCGGACCCCCCGGCAGAGCCGCTCTCTGTGTGACACCGCTGGAGCTCGGGGCTGGCTCGGGAGCAGGATGACACATCCCCAGTGGTCCCCCGAGACCCTTGTCGGTAGCTTTGCTCAGCAAGTGTTTAGTCTCATTTGGAGCGGGGTCAACTCCAGCCCTGTGGAGCTGCTGGAGCGGCCTCTCCTTGCTGCACCCCAGCTTGGGGCTGGCTGGAGACCCCCCGCACGGGGCTTAGGGACCCTTCTCCCTCGGGGAGGGGATGCTTCGGGCTGCCTTGGAGAGACGGGCGGGGCCAGCCCCGGGGATCTGATAGCGCTGTTATCTCTGCGCAGCTATCGCCCTCCAACAGAGACCGGGGCACTTCCACAGCCCCGGGTGCGCTTGGCACCGATGGAGGAGCCTCGATAAAGTGCTCAGAGCCCTGGCCGGACCCTCAGCATGCAGAGCACCCGGTCATCGGTGCCCAAACGGGAGTGAACATCCCGGCTCTTCCACTCCTGCTCCGCTAGGGTCTCATGGGATGTGGAATCTGCCTTGAAGACTGAGCCCAAAACCCAAAATTCATCAGGACCTGTGAGGTTGAAGCTGTTTGAGACACATCTGCTTAACAAGGCATTTCAGATGGCCTGAGCCTACATAATTCCTGGCCCTAGGGAGAAATCAGGACTCAAGGGAAAGATCTCACCTAAGGGAAGGGAGGACAATTTGTGATGAGGCAGAGGGCTGGCAAGAGTGAAGAGATGGGAAGAAAAGTGTTTG